GGATACCCTCGTCTCTGGACTCGATCTCCACAAATTCCAAATCTATCCATAATCAAAATAATACTAATATTCATGTCCAGAAATAATGATCCTAGAGTATAGGATGGAGAAGTACGCTACAGTGATTTATAAATCAAACATTCTGAAACTTTGGAAAAAAAAGTTTATTTTCCCACTCACGTTGAAACTAATCACTTTTATACCTATTATTATATTCAATCATCATTACTATAAATATGTATCTTCTCATTGTTACCTGATAATTCGTGAAACATTGAATCTATTAATTAGAATAACTAGAAACCAAAACTATTATTAACATAGGAAATACTTTTCCGCAGCATGCTATCAATTTCAATTATCAACTTCTCTGTAATTACATGGAACATGTACCATTGCAGTAAAATCAATGCGATACCTGATAAATTAGTTTCTCCGCCAATAAATTCTCGCTACTAACTATCCAAAAGATTCTCGCAACTCATCGCCAACCTCTTCTTGTCGCTGTCATTGTTTATACTATTTCCGCTGATTGTTTTATCTCTTAATCAACCAAGAAACTAATATTTTAAATCCCTAGGTCAAACGTGGCAGCACCCATTTTAAGAGAATGGGCTTAGCCCACTCCTTTTTCTTTAATAGTCTTAAGCACAATTACAAAACTTAACTACTAGCCCCTCATTTAATACAATATCTTATATATCATAATAAATTTAATTTCACTAGCTTATTATTTCACCTAATAATTATAAATTAAATTAATTCTCCACTTTTCACAACTAATAGGTATATAAAAAAAGTTTTATATTTCGGACGTACTCATAAGTCTAAAATTGCTCAACGAAGCTAACCGAATCATAATAATTCAAATCCGTATTCGTCTACTCATAAGTCAACTTTAGCTTGATTTTTCTAACTTAGCTTTCTAACTAAGAGACTAAGTGTTCATTTCACTCCAAAATTACTTCGAACCCAAACCTGCCAACTCGATACCACTCAACGCAGCTGAACAACACACAAATAAGCAGAAATGGGGAAAGCGGGGCTATAACTCTCAGAACGACTGGTCGGGTCGTTACACAGATATAGATGTAGAAGCATTATTAGGCACAACACTAGGCACATTATTTTTCAATGGAAAAACATGCTCAAAAAATTCTGCATCTCTAGATTCACAAATAGAACTATCATTCAAAGACATAAATCTATATGCAGCACTATTTTGAGCATAACCAATGAAAATAGCATCAAAAGTGTTGGATCCAACAGTTACTTGTTTAAAGTTAGGTAGACCAACCTTAGCCAAACATCCCCACACTTTCAGAATTTTCAAGTTAGGGGCAAACCCTTTCCATAACTCATGCGGAATTTTATCTAACTACTTATGAGGGACTTTATTAAGAACATAGCATGCAGATAAAACAGCTTCCCCCCACATATTATTAGATAAACCCGAACTCAAAAGCATAAAATTCATCATTTTCTTAAGGGTTCTATTTTTTCGTTCGGCTACACCATTTTGTTGGGGAGTATAGGGAGCACTAACCTCGTGTATAATTCCATTTTTCTCATAAAAAGGCTTCTAGAGTATTAGTACTATATTCGCCACCCCTGTCAGACCTAAGCCTCTTGATTTTTCTGTCTAATTGATTCTCTACTTCTGCCTTATATTTCAAAAACATGCTTTCAGCCTCATATTTTGACTTAAGAAGATATACCTTAGTGTATCTAGAAAAGTCATCTACAAAGGTGATGTAGTATTTCTTTCAACCCTTACTAACAGTGTTCTTGAAACCTGCTAAGTCTGAATGTACTAGTTTAAGCAATTCTGCTTTTCTACTAGTTACATTCTTAAAAGGCTTTTTGGTATGTTTTGCTTTTACACAAATTGGAAACTTAGAAAAATTATCAACATTAACTACAGGAATTAATTCCATTTTTCTAAGTCTTTTAACAGAAGCAATACTAATATGACCTAGTCTACCATGCCACAAATCAATAGACTCGGCAATATAAGCAGAATTGAAATTACTAGCATTATTAGTAATCTCTTGAGCGATGTTCAGTACAAATAAACCCCCACTAAGGTAACCCTTCCCAACAAGGTTTCCTCCACGAGAAATAATAACTTTATCATATTCAAAAACAAGTTTAAGACCTGCTTTGTTGAGAAGCGCACCAGAAACTAAGTTTCTACGAAGGAAGGGTACATACAGAGCATTATTCAAGGCTAAGGTTTTTCCAGAAGTTAATTTAAGGAGAATTTTTCCTTTACCCATAACTCCACCTGTAGTGGAGTTACCCATATAGACACACTCGCCATCAGCAGATTCCTCAAAGTCGTGAAACAGCTCCTTGTTGGCTCAAATGTGCCTTGAAGCGCATATGTGTATCCACTCAGTGTTGTTAGCCACTATGTTCGCCTCAACAACCACAGCAGCAATGACATTACCACCCTCAGTAAGGTTAGCTTGGACCGAAGCTTTTCCTCCAATCTTTGAGCTTTGTCCTTGTCTCTGGTTGCACTGAAAAGCCTTGTGGCCAATTTTGCCGTAGACATAGCAAGGTCCTTCCGATGTTTGAATATGGCCCTCCGGCTTATTGAAGTAATTCTACTTCTTCACATGTCCTTTCTTCTGGCCTTTCTTCTGTTTTCCTTTAAACCTATCTTTCACAAAAGTACAAGAAGATTCCACAAGGTTAGCTATAGAAGAATTAAGAGAGAGAGAGATTTCATTTTATCCTTAAGTCGTTCAGACTCCTCATCTTTGAGACGGTTTGCTTCCTCAGTCCTCATGTGACTGATCAGTTCTTGAAGAGTTAAGTTTTTCTTTTTGTGTTTCAATTGATTCCTGTAATCAGTCCAGGAGGGTGGAAACTTTTCAAGCAGAACATTAGCTTGAAGAATCTCACACATCTCCATGCCCTCGTTCAAAACAACAGCAGTCAAGTTCTCATACTCGTGAACCTGTTCCATAATTGGCTTATCATCAACCATCTGAAACTTGATCCACTTTCCAACGACATACTTCTTTTTTCCCGCGTCATCAGCACCATATTTCTTCTCCAAACTGTCCCATATGATTTTAGCAGATTTAAAATTTATAAACAAATCAATGAGAGGGTTAGTCATATGGTTAAGCAGATGCCCTCTCACTGTTTTATTATCCTTTTCAAATTTCTTCTTAGCAGCATCATCAGCAACAATAATATTAGGAGTATTAGAACTATCAGGAACAATATTAGCAGGAGGATCGTTAAACAAAACATAATCAACTTCTAATTGTTCAAAGAGAATTAGAAGTTTCTGGGACCAACGCTTATAATTGTTTCCATCTTAAAGGCTCAAGCTTTGAGAGATCAGAAAGTGTTTTGTTCAAAGTGGTGGCCATTAGTCAATATTATATGTAAAATCGCTTTCAAATTGTAAGAAAAATGAGTAGATAATATTGACTAATAACAAGAAGGAAAGAAAGAACAACTTATCAAAAATACTGTGTCGTGGCAAGCCAGTGCCTTGAAAGCGATTACGGCCCGACTAGGTGCAAATCATTAAGACTGGTCGCACCCCAAGGTTCTACAACACCTCCAACCACGTGCACTCGTGGCTGGAAGTTTAGAATTTGCACAAAACAGTTGCCCAGAAAGAAGAGAAGATGAAGGTTTTTTTTCTGTAGTTGTTACAGAAATTAAAATGTTGTAGGAAGAAAGTAATGATTATCAAGATGAATTCTTGGTTAAAGAATTGAGTGAATATGATGGCTAATGATTATCTTATTTATAGGCAATTAGGGAGGTTGCATGTATGACAAGTGTGGAGAGTCTTTTAACACTTGTCCAAGTATATTAGTCCATTTGACAAGTGTACCTAGTCTTCCATGCATGAAGACACATGGTAGATTTGCATAGCCACTTGTCAAAGCCATTCAACACTTGACTTTAAATCAATGCCACATGTAAAACTCTTGCCATGTACCAATTATCTAAGAGTATTTGGCCACTTGGAAATAGGTAGAATACTAGTAAAATAAAAATACCGATGGCTATTGGTTGTAAATGGATTTGCAAAAAGAAATCTTTGACTTTGCATTATAAATAATACCAACAGTATTTACCGGAAACAACCTCTCTACTCTCCCCAGACCCACTTATGGGATAAATTGGGTATGTTGTTGTTGGTGGTGGTGTGTGGGAAATTGAGTCTACTATAGATGTATCTCATATCCGTACTGTTGATTTTTGTCAGATGGGAGAGATCTATCAATTAATATATTACAATGTATTTTGTATCCTTTATAGAGGCGAAGTACCCTCTATTCAATAGCATACAATTTCCTGTCCACCTAGACAGTCATCTGAGAATCAAAACCAAACTTTAAAAAATTAAGCTTGACCTAGTTCATCATTCTGGAATCAAGTTAATCAACAAAGAACATATGGGGTGAATATGGGCACCTCCTCTGTTATTCCTGTCTCTCAAAAGAAACCTTCAATTACTTTTAAAATCATGCACTTGCTCCCCTATGATGTTGGGGCCCTACTATCTAATTATCTGAGTTGTTGGGCTAAAGTACCCCAAATACACTCTTAATATGGTGTGATATTGTCCGCTTTGGGCCAAGCCCGCACGGTTTTCTTCAAAAGGCTTCACACCATTAAGAGATCCCTACACCTCATATGTAGATTCCCAATCTTTTCAGCTACCAATGTAGGACTTTGTTCGCACACCCAACATGAGTAAAGTTGAAGTCTTTATAATTCTAAGGAGATTATAAAACTTATAGATGAGGGTACAACTTTTTTTGTGCATTCAAAAGAACACAAGAAATTTAAAATACATCATAGTTTAGTGTCTTGTTTTCAAGCACTTCTGTGTCAACCTGCTAATTGCTTCATATGCTACGATCTAGATTCCGAAGAAATGAAAAATAACTTGTTACCTAGGAAGACTTGCATGAAAACAAGGCAGAGATAGAAAGCTAAGCAACACCTACAATGTATGCGTTCCAAGAATCTTGTTGTTGAAAACTTGTAACCTCTTCATACTTTATGTCTCGTCCAGCAGTAAGCCCATATGTGCTTTTAAGTTCTTCACTGTCAGGCATATGTCGGATCCAGAAGTGGACCGACTGAAATCCAGCCTCTTCCAAACAATCTTTGATCTCAGGCAATGACCACCTGTACACAAGAAACACATGTCACGGTATTAGATGAACAGCAGCGATAGAAAAAGGACTACCGCCATAATAGAATGGAGGAAGTGACCTTTTCTATATAATGGACGGGAAGTGACTTACAGTCTCCAGCTATAGGAAAATGCATGGCGAATTTTCCTTTGCGGTTTGTGCAGATTAAAATGGAGGCTGATCCTCGTTTTCCGTTTAATGATGTCGAATTCAGCTTGCTCCCAAACATACTGTGAAATGGATAGCAGACTTTACAATTCAGTTATTTAACAAACAGACTAAAGACAATGTTCCAAGATCTTTTTTTCTTCTTTGACCCGCAAGTTGTTTGGAAGTAACAATTCTTACAAATAGCAGAATTACTACATAGGATGTCAAGCCCTCAGGCCAGGTTATGGCTTACCACCTAAATTTTCTGAGAACTATCATTGATCCAGATGCTTCATACATATCAAAGTATGCCAAAAAGAAACCTAAAGCTAGCATTTCGCTATAAAAGCCTCCTTGCATGTTCTTTTCCAACTGAAGCAATTAATTAAAGGAAGTAACCCCTACCTCACCACAGCAACAGTAGTAAGGATATCCCACCTGACCCCGTTACATGACCAGTGGCAACTTATATACTAGGCCGGTTTTCAACAAGCAGTAAGCCACTTAGAGCATTTTGATGTAAATTGAAACACACAACCATGGTAACATGAATTAAGGTATGATGTCTACCGGGGTGAATTCAGCTGTGAGATAAGATGACAGAGATAATAACAGTTTTATCACTAAGATACAAGACATAGGAGTATGTATAGAAGATTTTCAAGTCATTTGTATCAACATGGTTCTTTGCATTTGTGTCCAAGTTCTGGGATTTTTGGTTCATTTTGTCTAATCACTAAGAGGGTGTTTGGCTAAGCTTATAAGCTGGTCAAACTGACTTATAAGCACTTTTTGGCTTATCTACGCGTTTGGTAAAATTAAAAGTGCTTATAAGTTAAGTGCTTATAAGCCAAAAATAAGCCAAAAGCCATAAATTGGTCTCCCCCAACTTATCAAATTCCAGCTTATAAGCACTTTAGGTTTGACCAAAATATTTACTATTCTATCCTAAAATACTTCTATTTAGAACAAAACTCTTCGTATACCCAGTTCTTCAGCTGCTTATTATTAATTTCAGCACTTTTATCCAAACACGTAACTGCTTATTTTTTTAATCAGCTTCAGCACTTAAAAGTGCTTTTCAGCAGCTAATGCTTATCAGCTACTCTAAATCAGCTAAGCCAAACGGGCTCTAAATCAACCTCGAATTTCTAATAAGCCACTTCAGCTAATAGCTAAAACAGCCTAATCAAATCAAACAGAATTCAACACTTCTTCCAGCCTTCTGATGGCTCTTACCCCCGTACCCCAAAAGGAAAAAAGATAATGCTCAAGCTGAATACCCAATTAATGACATAGAATCTTCAATAAGTGCCACTATCATCTGTCTTTATGTAATGACATAAATTTACATATACATGATAAAAGTCACCATCTTGGAGCCATGCCCTAAGGTGTGTGCCATTTTATCAACCACATAATCATCCCCTTAACAAGACCTAACTTTCTCGATCAAAACCTACTTCACATTATCTTTTTCTTGTCTGTCATGTCACAAAAGAAGTATTTGACATAATGGGGACATTAAAGATTGTAGCAAAAAGTTTTTATTAGACGGGATCCAATACAAAGTAACTCAGACATAACTCTTTTATTTACTATATGATCTTTACCTTAACTAAAGTATAATCTACAGCCCAACTAAAATTATACAATGTCATTTTCTTTGTAAAGATTATGACACTAAATTTGCTTTACGGAATGCTTATATGTGTTTTAGAATTATTCCTCTATTAAGAATGTAGAAATAAGTTTTGCATGGCTAGTGTTAATTGAAGAAGTTGTAAAATTTGGAGGAAAGGTAAGGCCACAAAGAAAGAGCTATAGGGTTGCATAGTTGGGGGGAAGGGTTGGTGATAGCAGTAGAGGATGATAGATCGTAGAAGTGCGTTTTCTTTTTGGAATTGTTGACTCTGTCATCGATTTGACTAAAATGTGTCTTCGAATAAACGGACTTTTAAAGCCTTAAACGGTGAGATAAGCAGGTACACCCCAACTATAATGACGAAAATGCATATAAAAGAGTATCAGCATCCCAGAATTGTCATGTCCAGATTGAAATTTTTTCATTATAGCAGTGTTCCAAATGGTCCTGAAAAGGAAGTGACAACAAAGAAATTATATGCTGAAATTGAATAACCACGAATATGGTAAGAAAGATCCAGATTCTAGTACATGTAATTCAATTATAGAAGACTAAGGATCTCTTTTAGTTTGGATATACATACTGTGAAATTAGGAAATCTTCTCTGCATCCTCAGCTCTTGCTCTGCTGATGTGCCTCCATACAGATCCATCACAAATATACCACCCTTCTTATTCAGAGCACTTAAGGCATGTTTGAAGTATGAAACTAGTTCTTGGCGAGTATGAAGGCAACAGCAACTGTAGTTAAAAGCACAAACTATATCTCTTGCAGGAAATTGAAAATCCTTCATCAATTTGTTATCAGGAGAACCATCTTCACTATCTCCTAATGTTATGTTTTGCATGAGATTTTGAGTAGCGGCATTAACCAATTTGGCCTCAAGAGGTTGCAACACATTACCATGAAATAGGAATATTCTGGAAGAGACATCAGCACCAACTTTGTTCACATTGTTCTCGGTGCACCAATCAAGTGCCTCAACGTCCAAATCTAATCCTATAGCCGTGCGCCTAGTATCATTTCGGAGCCATTCAGTACTGCCAAAATGCATCAGTTACAAAACAACGGTTGAGTTAGCTGAGGAAGTTGCAAAGGGAATGAGTTGAAACTATGCATTAATCTATTTTTGATCGGTGAAACTATGCATTAAACTATGAAACTATGCATCAGCATCAGATAAGTGTTGGAAAAAAAACAGTTGAGTTAGCTTACAAACTCGCAAAGGGAATGCGTCGAGACTATGCATTAATTTATTTCTAGTAGTCGATTACACTTCAGCTTTGATGGAAGGTTGAGGCTAGGAGAGCGGAAGGCTGAGCCTCAACCAGCAAAGGGGTTGTGACAAGTATGGCTAATAAGTATAAAACTATCCTTAGTTCAGCATGGAGACCAATCTGAGATACAACTTGAGGAGTAATCTTAACTTCAAAGTTTGAAAGAAATAATAACTGCAAAAATAGAATACTGTTTTTCCAGAACCATAATCAGTAGGCAAATGTAGTCTATCAACATCCTTAATACCAAATGTTTCAAATTCAAACTTTTAGGTAAGATATGTTTTCAATAGGTGAAGTTTTACTCCATTTGAAACAAGGCAACATTATCATGTTTGTAGATATAGCCTCGCCAAAAGTAAACCTAATATTATGAAACAGATTAGCTACGGAGAAGAATTAATTAAAATAGACAAGCTAAAATAACAGCCTTCTGTTGCTGCATCACCTCTATAACTTGGACATAAATGTAACAAACTACTGGACAGCTTGCAGCAGTATAATTGCTCAAATATCAAAAATGAAAGCAAATCCCTAAAAAGGATGACCGCTAATAGTTTATATACCATTCAGGAGCTAATTTTGCAATGGAGCAAAATAATTAAAAAGTAGACATGGTAGTTGAAAGAGTGTACCTCAAAAGAGCAGTGCCGCAGAAATCTTCCTGGAAATGGAGAGGCACCCTCCCACCTACGTACATCAAGAAGAATTTCTGCAGATAACTTATGTCCCCTTTTGGTGACTGCACAGATACAATAAGATTACCCCACTTTATCCAATTAGCTACTAGTAAGCAAGAAAAAGAGGAGACGTTGACAAATGGGTGTTTCTTGCCTGCACAGATTGTTGGTATAGAGAAAACTTCGAAGGGATATCAACAGTGAGATCATCTTGACTCTCTTTTTCAAGTTGTGGGTTTTCATCTTCTTGTTCTTCTTCTGCATCAGGGGACTCAGTAGGTGGGGCAGCTGGGTATTCTTGCTCTTCCTCTTCAAGATAGTAAGCTCTATCTCTGCGGTTCTGTTGGTGGCTTCGCTTCTTCCCGTTCTTCCCCATTTTCACCCTTTTTTTCTTCTGCCGCCAACGGACGACTATGTAAAACCTTTTTGTTGCTTAAGAGGTTTTGCGTCTTTTTCTTCTTTTTTTTCCCCTTGGTGAAAAATTATTAGATGTAGTAACATGTTGCATACACCCCATAACCTCCTCAATGTAAACTGATGACCACCTAAGTTCTGAAAATTGTGTAGATTGGCCTATTAAAGTTTGTTACTACATATTTTGAGATGGTCAAAATTTTATATCTTTAGATTTGATATAACACCTTGACTTATGCATTGAGATATAGAGAAGAGCTAAACTTTGTGCCCAATGAATAAGTGACATGAACAAAGCACTCACGGTTGCTCCTAAGGTACATCAAAAGACCTCGTCATAATGCAATTCAGTTTGACAACTAATTTGATTTGCATTTGGTTAAAACAAAATCTACATTACTTTAAATTTTTAATCCAAAAGGTTTTGACAATCTTCAATTTTTTGACGAATACACCCACTTTAACATGAAGCCCTATTATCTAAATTAGAACAAACTAATGGTCCTATAGTTGAAATTAGGGTCACGTTCCCTATGTTATGAGGCGGGATTCTAATTATAATTTGAAACATAAAATTCTTACTTTAAGATGGGGGCTAATTGCGTTATCCATAATGGAAAAGCGGGGCAACAGTGAACTTAGGAAAATCGCGGGTGCTTTCTCGCAATAAAAGAACTTCGTTGTTTTGTTAAAAAAAGGGAGAATTACACATAAGTACAACTCATACACACACATTGCAATTGAGTAGCCCAGCTATAACCTTGCAAATCTATAGTCCAAAGACAATAGGCCCTATTCGAGAAAACCTAACATTTTTTTCACACAACCAGCATTTTTTGCGTCAATGCTATTGTCACGACCCCAACTTTCCTCCATAGGACGTCGTGACGGCTCCTAATTTTTATTAATTGTCTCATAAAGTTAATAGTAAAACACTGATTTTGGTAGGAGATAAATACAGAAGCTTTCCTCAAAAATAGGAATGTACAATAGCCTAGCTAAGCATGAAACAATCAAGATAGTTTTAAAGGCTCAGTGATCTATTATGTGTCCGTGCCTTCTTTTGATTTAATTTCGTATCAAATGATCGTCTACATACCATGTATTCTAGATATGTCAACCACAAAAAGAAAAATTAGCAACGGACCATGAACCAGTCAGAACAAGCCTGGCCCGCAATGAACCAAGGCACAAAAAGGAAGGGAAGAAGAACCAAATACGGTTACCAAACCCAGAAAACACCATCATCCATCGGAACGCCAAGCAGAGCAAGTAACGCCACCAATCCACCTTCGTTCACCAATTCATCAGATCGGGATGAGGAAGATATCATCCTAACCCACCTTCTGTTGATTGCCTAAACAAGAACGTAAGCGCTGCATGGGAGAGCAAGTAAGAAAATATCCCAACTGAAGAATAGGAAATTATCACGGAACCACTGAAATACCGTCCATCAGACAAACTCGACGCCTCGGAAAGTAATACCCTTCGAACGATACATCACCTCCCTCACCAAAAAGGTGTCCCAAGAAAGACTCCCCAGGGACACTTAACATTAGGCCGACGAGGAGGACCCCCCCCCCGCCCCGACCGTCGAACGCGTAACTCACT